GGGGAGAGAGGGGGAGGGAGGGAGAGGGAGGGAGAGGGGTAGAGAAGGGGGGAGGGAGAGAGAGAGGGAGGGAGAGAGGGAGAGAGAGAGAGAGGACTCTCAGAAACCACTAGCAGGAGGTCTCTTGAACACCTGCATCTGTGCACATCTGTACACACCCACTCCACTATTGCCATCAGCCCCGAATGCACTGGGTGTGTTCCACAGAAGAAACACGGGTGGATCCTCAGCAGACCTGCCTTGTTTTGATCCGTGGACTTTATGATCGAAGGGTCTTTGGCTCTCTCTGAGCTGGGGCTTCAAAAAAATTTAGCCGCTGGATCTCTGCCTGGTTGCTGGGTGGGTGTGACCAGGGTGGGCATAGCCTAGTCGGCCTCCTGCACCATGGCCGGGTGGTGGGGGGGAGGCGTTTTCACCTTCCCTGGGCTCCAGAAGCTTCCTTTGAGCCTCTGGGAGAGCCAAAACGGCCTCCCCGGACTCCGGAAGTTCTCTGGATGCCTTCTGGAGCCTCTCCCCCGACGCCTCCCCACAGGTCCTGCACTTCCTTGGGATCGAAAACCGGCTGGGTCGGGACTCTTGGGAGGGGTGTGGCAGGGTGGGTGGGGCCAGCCGGTCATTGCAGCGACCAGTTCGCCGAACCAAATGTACAATTAACATCCGGCTCAGCTAAACCGGTGCAAACCGGTAGCAGCCCAGACCTGCCCTGTGCAATTGGCAAACCCTACGGAGGTGCGGTAAGTTAAGATACTCTCTATGGTGCAGCGGTAGAAGGTCACCGGCAGTTTTTCACTCAGTTGTTTGTTTCCTGAGAAGCCTCAGGTAGTCTAATCTCTGCTGGGCCCTTTTGACCAGGGCTGCAATGCGAGCCCCCCCCAGATCAGGTCCTCTTTTAGGGTAACACCCAGAAACTTAAAACTGGCCACTTGCTCCACTCGGTCTCCCTTGAGAAGCAAGGGCTGGATGTCTGATCTCTTTCTTCTAGATAGTCCACTATAAGCTACATTTTTCCTTGTTTTTATTATCCGGTACTGTCTGCCAGATGGTAATAGTTCCAAAAAAAGGTTCCCAGGATGAGATGGATCTTTGAGGATGTTTTGAACTTTCTTAAGGCAGCAGGAGCTATAAAGCTTTTCCAAAGAGGGGAGAGGGCAACCCATGATCCTCCAAGCAATGACCTTAACCCTCTGGAGTGCTGTCCTATCTGCCCCTGTGCAATTGGCAAAACCATAGAGAGGTGCAGTATGTTAAGATACTCTCTATGGTGCAGCGGTAGAAGGTCACCAGCAGTTTTTCATTCTGTTGTTGTTTCCTGAGAAGCCTCAGGTCGTAGAATCTCTGCTGGGCCCTTTTGACCAGGGCTGCAATGCGAGCCCCCCCAGATCAGGTCCTCTTTTAGGGTAACACCCCGAAACTTAATGTCAGCTTTGGAAGCCATATTCCACGCTGCCACGTAGCCTGAGAAAGTGGAAAGGGGGTGATTTCAATTGAGTAGTTCTAAGTAGACGAAATAAAATTCTTTTGTTAGTTCCAGGTTATTAAGTGTGGCGCAGGATGAAAAAAAAGGATCTTACTCTGGGAGGGATCGTGATTGGTCCACGTGATGGAATGACGGCAAAGAGGGGGTTGGATTGTAGGTTGGGACATTGTGGGAAGTCCAGAAAACTTTTAGTTTCACAGATGGGCCAGGCGCTATTCCAATAAAGGTACTTTGGGGATATGTTTGTCTCGGAGTTATTGATTGGAATGGATGTTTGCTGGAATGCTCACACTTAAAACTGGCCACTTACTCCACTCAGCCACCAGACTACTACAGCCACCAGACTACGACCACCAGACTCAGCCACCAGACTACGACCACTACTCTGGTCCCTTACAGCCAGCAGACTACTACAGATTCCCAACGGCCTCCCTCCTCCTTACCCGACTTATAGAAATGGAACTGGAAACTCCGAGCGTCCACCCCCAAGGATATCGGTCCCATCGTGGCTACAGCTTGCTCCAGAGCCGTCTCGTTCTGCGGCGGAATCCGCACTAAGGACGTGCAGTTGCCCACCCGGGTTTCCGGCTTGTAGTAACAGTGGATTTCATCCTGCGGAGATGAGATGGGATGAGAAGACGCAGGGGAAAGTTTAGCAGCCCTTTTTTTTCAGACTGACACCTAGAACGTAGAATCGTAGGGTTGAAAGGGACCCTAGAGATCTTCTACTCCAGCCCTCTCTGCTCAAACAGTAAACTCTGGTCTTACGCCATTCCAGTCAAAGAGTTCTCCAATCTTTTCTTCAAAGCCTCCAGCGATGGAACATCCACAACTTCGTCTCTTGAGCAGTGTTTTTTCAACCTCAACAACTAGACGGTGTTTTTTTTCTCTGTGTCATACAATGTATGTGGGTATATGCATAATGTTAGTTAGTTAGTTAGTTATTTTGTCATGTTTACGGAGTGTATATTGGTGGGGACTGTTGTAGTCCGCTGGTAGCCTGCGGAGTTGGCGGCAGAGTCGGACAGTGTGGAGGACCATGGAGTCTGGGGAGGACTCAGACAAGGGTCCTGCGTCCGACACAGAGATGAGGCCATGACCATCCGATGGTTATGTGCGGACTCCAGAGCCTCCAGAATCTGACATCAGTGAGGCAGAGGAACAGAGGGAGCCTGTTCCCAGTGCGTGCATGTACAGAGCTGCCAGAAGGCAAGAACACTTAAGACAAAATGGCTGACTCCGGAGTAAGACTTGGAGGTGATTGGCCCCTCCCTCAAGATCTAAAGGAGGAACAAAGGGACATGAGCCTTTGCAGGAAGCAACTTTCTTCGTTCTGGTCAGTTTAAAGTCTGAAGCTCCTTGTTGACTTTGTGCTCCATTTCGCCTTATCCAGTTGATTGGCAATTTAGTCCTGGGCAGCATTTCAAGGGAGATAAAGGTGGATGCTTATCAGCCTTATCCCGAAAGACTGGCGGACTTCTGTTGGACTGTTCACAAGCGGTTTGGGACTCATTATGGGCTGTGAATGCATAGAATTCACAGCTGTTAAAATGAAAACAAAGATTTGGGGGAACAGCATGTGATTGTTACTGTCCAAGGAAGCCTTGGTCAGAACGAAATTACATCATAATGTATGCTGGTTAGCGTACGTTCAAAGGGACAATCAAGACAGATCATGATTGGTCCATGTGATGTGGTAATGGGAGAAAAGGGGATGGATTGTAGTTTGGGACGTCCAAGAAACTTTTAATTTCAAGATGCCACAGATGTGCCAGGTGCTATTCTAATAAAGGTACTTTTGAGATCGCGCTTGTCTTGGAGTTACGGGTTGGAATGGAGGTTTGCTGGAACACTGACAGTCACACCATCAGTGCTGGAAAGGAATGGGCTTCTAGCACTGATAATGTCACCTAGTTGGGTAATGAGATGTCTGCAAGAAAAGGACCAAGCTCAGAGAGCACCGAGGACCCCACAGATGTTGTCCTCTTCCTCCTCCTCCTCCCCCTCCTTCTTCTTCCACCCCCCTCCCTTCTGCCAGCAAATTCCACTCCTAACACTGATGATATTACATAGTTGGGTAATGAGATGTCTGCAAGAAAAGAACCAAGCTCAGAGAGCACCGAGGACCCCACAGTTCTCCTCATCCATCTCCTCCTCCCACTCCTCCTCTTCCTGATGCTCCTCCTCCTGCTGCTGCTCCTCCTCCATCCATAAACCCTACTCCCTTCTAGCACCTGATGACGTTACCTAGTTGGGTGGTGAGACACCTGCAAGAAAAACAACCAAGCTCAGAGAGCACCGAGGACCCTACGGATGTTGTCCTCTTCCTCCTCCTCCCCCTCCCCCTTCTCTCCAACACTGATGATGTTACCTAGTTGGGTGACGAGACGTCTGCAAAAAAAAAGCTGCCGAGCTCAAGAGAGCAACCGAGGACCCCTGAGGGGTCAACCCTGAGGAACAAATACGCTCTTCCGTCGATCGCCTTGCCCGCGTCCGCCTCGTCCTCCTCTCTCACCTTCTCCCGGTAAGGATAATCCTGCTCCGAATCGATGCCTCCGTTCTGCCGCACGTACTCAAAGGCCTGGCTGATGTAGCCCCCGTGGCAGCCCTGGTTGCCCAGCTTCCAGGAGCAGTCCATGAGGTTCTGCTCGCTCAGGGAGACCAGCTGGCCCGTCTTCTTGAAGAGCAGCCCTTCCAGAGCCCCCGTGGCGCTGAAGGCCCAGCAGGAGCCGCAATGCCCCTGTGAAGACAGCAAAAGGAACTCCAAGGAGGGCCGGCAGGCCAAAGATGGCGGTCTTGGTCCTGTATTTTAATGGAGGAGTTGGGGGGG